CTGGTGATGGGCATCCCCACCTTCGGGAAGAGCTTCACTCTGGCCTCTTCGGAGACGGGGGTCGGCGCCCCAATCTCGGGGCCGGGACTACCAGGCCGATACACCAAGGAGGCGGGGACCCTCGCCTACTATGAGGTAACGCAGCTGGGGGAGGAGGTAAGATTCCCCCGGCACCACCGGCAGCCCTGGGGAAGGTGACCGCCACTCTATCCTCAGCTTTTCTCCTTTGGGAATTAAAAAACATGTTCAGTTGCGCTGGAATCCCTGGGGAAGAGGAGGGGAGAGGTTAGGCCTTTCGCGACTAAGGGTCCCAGCAGGTGCAGGCACGCAGGTCTGCACCACCAGGCTCCCCGGATGGCCCTCTGGCCTCGAGCTCTGCTCTTCTTTCCAGCCCAGGAAAGAGCGATGGCCAGGAGGCAGATTTTTTGTTTCATCCTCGCCTCTGCTGCTCTGTGGCCTACGGCCCGTCCTCAGCCCCATCTCCCACGTCCATTCTAAATGGAGGAAGAGGATCAGAAACCCCTGTAGAGTGCTCACCTAAGGCAACCAGGAATTCTGGGACTTTCTCATCTGTTTTACATAAGTCTGCATGAAGCCTGCAGCCTGCAGACCCAGGAGAACCAGGCTGCAGGATGAAGCAGGGGCTGAGAGAGGTTTGGGGAGTGACATCTCCTGGTGACCTGCCAAGTCTCAGCACACCGGGTTCCCACGCTAACCCTGCCCTGTCCTCTGCTCAGATCTGTGACTTCCTCCAAGGAGCTACGGTCCGCAGACTCCTGGGCCAGCAGGTCCCCTACGCCACCAAGGGCAACCAGTGGGTGGGATATGACGACCAGGAGAGCGTCAAAAGCAAGGTAGGCTTCCCCAAGGCCAGCCTCAGGGTAAAGAGGAAGAGGAGGGCCCTGCTCCAAGCAGCCGGCATCGCGTGTGGGTCTCAGGACCTCAGAGCACAGTTCCCCGCATACACGCCCTGGCCCGGGAACCCAGCCCTGCCCCTCTGGACTTTCCCCGCCAGGTGCGGTACCTGAAGGACAGGCAGCTGGCGGGCGCCATGGTGTGGGCCCTGGACCTGGATGACTTCCGCGGCTCCTTCTGTGGCCAGAACCTGCGCTTCCCTCTGACCAATGCCATCAAGGATGCGCTGGCTGCGACGTAGCCCTCTGTCCCTTTGCACACGGTGGGGGGCCAGCTGGCCTGGAGCCTGATCACCTGCCCTGCTGAGTCCCCGGCTGAGCTTCAGTGCCCCTCCATTGGGACCCTGCAGAGGGCCACTGCCCTGGGACTGAGCTCAGCCCCAGTGGACAGGGAGTGGGGTGGGGCTGAGGGGACAGCGCAGCGAGGGCCTGGGGACCCGCACAGTGTGAGACGCAGGATGAGCACACACCTGCTGTGAAGGGAAGTGCTCGCAGACCCCGAGCCCGGCACAGGGATCCCTGCAACCCCCTCTCCCCCGGTTCTCCTTATTGAAGGACACCGTTTTGGCAAGCTCTGCTGCCAAGCAGCCAGACGTCCTACAAGACACAGTGGCCGTGCTAATTATACCCTCTGCAAAGCCCAACTTGAGACCTTCACTTAGGGACCTAATCGCGTCTCCTATCCTACTTCCCTCGCCTAATTCCACAGCTGCTCAATAAAGTGTGACAGCTTGACGTGTGTTGGCGCCCGCTTCAGTCTGTCTTCGTGGGCCCACTGGGCCATCGGCCTCGCCGCCCCATCTCTCCTGGATTCCTTTCTCTGGGGTCGGGAGGGAGCCCTGGGCGTGCAGGGGCCAGGCCCCGCGGAGCCCCGATGGGAGGCCAGCATCCTCAGATCCAAGATGTTAAAGTCGCTGCATCCAGACCTCTAAATTAAGCTCCTGTTGAAAGAAGCCCTTTCTGTTTGCTGAGGGCTGGCAGGCGCTGGGAAAGGAGCCCCTTAATCCCAGCACTTCATCCCCCCTGCCCCGCAGGAAGGTGGTGGGGGCTGCCCACAGGGCCAGCTTAGAGAGCCCCGAACCCGGGGCCCCTTGGGGCCAGAGGGAATGGCAGATGACCGCTCACACCCTCCCGGCCTCCCAGCGCTAGAGTCTCTGCAGAGCACTCGCGAGATGGCCCTGCACCCTCCCCATAACCCCAGTGCAGGGCAGCTCTTTCCCTTGGAGGCGGCCTGTCCCACTGCTGGGCTGAAATCTGTCCCTGCCCCAGGTGCCAGCGCTGAGCTCAGCCCTCTGTCCTGCTTGCCCTGGCCTCGTCCTCCTCCCTCACCCCAAGGAGAGGTCAGAGCCCCTCTGCTCACGCTGGCTGAGACACTGGGTGGGGAGGATGGCACGGACGGGCTCAAACACCCGCCGGTGCCCCGGCCTTGCCGAGCTGGAGGTGGAGATGCTGTCCCCGGGCCACTGTGAGTTTCCAGGGCCCTTACGCAGAGAGAGTCCAGGCACACACTCCAAAAGTAAAGAGAATTCATTTGTGGGTTCCTTGATATTTGGGTTATCTGTGGCTTGGGGTAATCACGTGTGGGCCTGACGGTTTGTGACTCTGGTTTGAGATGGAGGGAAGGAAATATCTGAAATTTAAACCAGCTGGAGCTGGGCAGATGCAGCTAGTCCCAAGGTCAACTCCTGCTAACGGCAAAGGAAAGCAAGAACTTGGCCAGAGCCTGGGGCGGAGGGGGGCGGGGGTGTTGTACCTGGCGTTTCACTGCCGGCCAGTGGGGCGAAGTATTTCCCAGTCCTTGCCACTGCTTGCCCCCCCACGCAAAGGTCTTAGAAACCCCAGAGCTGTGGGCCCTCCTGGGCAGCCAACCCTTCTCCCCTGGGGTTGCCCTCCCCCCGCCTGGGACAAGCTCTCCAAGGCTGACTCAGGGTCCGGCAGGGTTAGTCACATTCACTTATAGCTGCAGAGTCACAGGCCAAGGATGGAGATCGGGTCTCCAGGACCTGCTCCCTGCCCAGCAGGACACTGAGTCACCTGGCTGAGGACAAGGGTACCCAGAGGCTCCCAGGCCCTCCACTGCCACTCCCCAGCAAGGACAGCTGGGGTTGAGAGGTGGCCACACTCCTGTGTCCCCCGTCCCTAGGAAGGGAGAGAGCATGCATGCTGCTGAGGGCCTTGAATAAATTACATGTTTATTTATTTATAACACATTAACTGCCTCGTGAGTTGTATTTAACTCATGCCAGTTTTGAGTGCGGGGCCTTGTGAAGTGTATGTAACTCACACTTCTTTCTATGTTGGGAGCCACGTGGTGCACAGGCAACTCACAATGCCAGGGGGCTGCCCATCACACATGTTACGTGATGGGCAGCCCCCTGGGCAAAACCCTGCAGTTGGTTCATGAAAGTCTTACTCGATATTCTTACTGTTACAATTAATATTGACAACTTAATTGCATATGACTCATGAACAGAAAACAATGAAAAATAACAAATTTTCCATTGAATTAGAATCGTTTTGTTTTCAAAGTTTTTATTCTATTTTCATCATAAAATACCATGGCCCCAAGGAAAAAATATTTCTTCCAGCGTGGCAGTCAATGTGTTAAATATCCGGACATATCACACTTGCTACAGAGTGCATAAAATGTATTTGTTTAATTTAAAGAATTATTATGTAGTGAGAACCTGTGTGACCCCCATCTGTAGCCCCTACAATCACACACATCCCTGTCCCTCCACCTGGAGTCAGCCACCATCCTGACTTTTGCGCTGACCTTGGCCTTGCCTTCCTTCTCGGCCTTACCCCCTGTGGCTGCACCCCAAAGAAGAGAACGTGGCGTCGCCTGTGTTTGAATTCAGCTTTTGAATTTCCGTGTGCGTCCCTCCTTCTGCTCACCGTTAGGTCTGGGAGATCATCCGTGTTATTGTTTGTAGCTGAACTTTGCTCATTCCATTCTATATTTTGCTTTATGGTTGCGTAAACACTGCACAGGTATGTATCCACCCCACTGTTGAGACGCAGCTGTTTTCCCCCAGATTTCTGCAATTACAAATAATACTGCCCTGAGCATCCCCCTGTGCCTCCTGGGTGCACGCGTGGGCATCCCTAGGACTGGACCCGCCGGGAGGTGGCGTGGGCACAGCACCCATTGCACTAGGCACCGTCGCACCTCGTCCAAAGCGACTGCTCCAGTTCATGCTCCCGCCAGCAGTGACAGCTACCTCCCCCTCCTCCCTGACACATGGGAGTGTCTATCTTCTAAATTACCACCAGTCTTTTGACATTTTACTGAATGAATGAATCGATGGCTAGAAATTTGATCACACCTGCCTCATTTCCCACACTAGGAATGCCCATGCCCATGGCCTGATTTGAAGAGTCTAGAAGTTTCCAAACGCCGTCCTCCAGCAGGGTCTCTTCAAGATCTGCCTATAACTGGATCCCACCCCAGGGGCCGCAGGACCCCTGTAATAGACAGAAACCCGAAGCCTGGGGCAGGGACCGGGAGACCAGATGCCCAGCAGCCTCCCTGACAGACAGGACCTTCCCCCAGCCAGCCCCACCTTGGACACCCCAAGTCCCTCCCCCTGTAGGGTCCTGAGCCTCCTACCGCACAGATGACAGTCCCCAGGGACTGTGGGGCCAGGGGAGTGTGGGCCCCAGGGCCAGAGCTGGGCCTGCCCCCCGTGAAGGCTGTTCCGGGCTGTCTGGGCCCCAGCACCCACTCTGAGCAGCTCTGGGCACAAGTGGCCCTGCAGAGGCCAGACACACAGAGCCTGGGATCAGTCTCCAGATAGAAGCTGTTTCCCCCGTTGCCCTGACGCCTGGCACAGGTCCCCATCCGTGTCCATCCCGCCCATCCGCGCCCTCCCCCTGTCCGGGCAGCGGCACCTTGGCTGTCGAGGGCCCATCCGGGTGATGGACAAGATAGCCCGCTCCGCTAGGGGCCTGCGGTCCCTCCCCGAGAGCTATTCCTAGCCTGGGCGCCTCCCCGCCCCCAGCCCTCCTGTTTGACCTGACCCCGCAGCTGGGAATCGTTTGCTGGGGGTGGGGCGGCCCCTGGCTATATAAGCCTGGACCTAGGTGTCCCCGGCACCCTGGAGGTCCAGCCCCTCCACTGCCGACCCCTGCCACTCCAGCCCTACCCCCAGCCAGGCCCGCAGTGATGGAAAACACCACCTCCGAGGCCCCCGCCTGTGGTCCAGAGGAGACCTCGTCTGAGTCTGCCAAGGTGCCCGCCACGGAGCCTCCCGGAGAAGTGGCGGCACCAGAGCCCCCCGGGGAAGAGCAGGCTCCCCAGCCACAGGAGCCTGCCTCACAGGCCCCCACGGCCCCCGCGGCCACTAAGCCTGTACCCGCAAGCGAAGGTGAACAGAGGTGGGGCAGGTGGAAGGGAGGCAGCCGTGCGGGGGGTGGAGGGGAGCTCTTGGCCATGAACCCCTTCATCGCGCCCTGGCTCCTCCCCAGACATCCCCAGCGCCCCGCTGCTGCTGACCCTGGAGGACGTGAGCCACAGCTCCGTGACCGTGAGCTGGGAGCCCCCCGAGAGGCTAGGGAGGCTGGGCCTCCAGGGCTATGTGCTGGAGCTCTGCCGAGAGGGAGGTGAGTGCTGAGCTAAGTCCCGCATGCACCCAGGAGGTGGACGTGGAGGGCAGCAGGGACAAGTGCCGGACCCTGCAGTCGGTCAGGGTGGGTCAGACACGGAAGGAGGGGGTGCAAGCGGTGGTTCCCCCGACCCACCCACTCGCCACTTCCCGCTCCACCAGCGTACCTCTGAAGGCGGGGGACACGCAAGTGACCTCAGGAGCCCCTTCGGCCTCCACTCAGAGGAGCCTCTGGATAAAAGAAGGGTGGGGACACCCGGCCCTGCTCTGATGAGAGGGGGGAGGTGCTGAGTCTCAGAGAACCTGCCCGGGGAGGGCACTGCAGGAGCAGAGGGGGGGTATTAGAGTAAGAGCCAGTGAGGAGAGATAGGGATGGGGTGCTCTGGCCACATCCCTGCTGCCACCGTCCCCCTCCATGGCCTCAGTTCGGCCTGGCCTCTGCCTCTGCCCCTACCTTGCTGTGTGACTTTGCAAATGTGTCCAGCTCTCTCTGGGCTTCAGCATCCCCAACTCTGGCCACGATTTCAGGGCTCTAACATCAGGTGTCTTTAACACCATTTGACAAGAAGTCGGGGAAGGGGACAAGGGGCAAGCAAGGCCCAGAGAGGGAGGTCTGGTCCCCAGATCGCCAGCAGGAGGGAAGGCCCGCAGAGCGGGGTGCCGTGGACCTCACACGCCCACGGCTCCCCTCAGCCTCGGAATGGGTGCCCGTGAACGCCCGGCCCGTGATGGTGACCCAGCAGACTGTGCGGAACCTGGCCCTGGGGGACAAGTTCTTCCTGCGTGTGTCCGCAGTGAGCTCCGCGGGGGCCGGCCCCCCCGCCACGCTGGACCAGCCCGTCCACATCCAAGAGAGCGTCGGTAAAGCCCGTCCTGGCCTTCCGCTCCCCAGCAAGCCCCCTCCCCCCCAGGCACCTTATCCACCAGAGAAATTGAGCCGGTGGGCAGAGGGACCTGGGCAGTCACTTCCCCACCCCACGCTCACATGCACAGCCACACACTGTCACCAGCTTGCCTTAAGAAAGTTCCAGGTTCCTCAGCAGCAAGGGGCCTCTGGAGACCAAAGAAGCCACTCCCCTGAGCAGTCCATCCCCCAAGCATAGGGGAAGGGGCTTCCTGACCCCAGAAATGAAACCTCAAGTTCCCCGGGTCACCTGCCTCAGGTGCTAAGAATCCACCTGTTCTTCCTCTGATCTAACCTTAATCCCTCCGGTGGCCACAGAAGCTCATTTTCTGCCCATTTCCTATGACCAGAATTCCAGACCCACCCAAGGTTCTGGAACAGAGAGAAGGGCCCGCTTGTGGGAGGAACGAGAGGCCTGCGAAAGGCCGGTGAGGACCTCTCCATCCCAGAGGGCAGTGCCTCTCGGGGACCTGCAGGCCAGCTGCTGTCCCCGTTGCTAATATTTCTATTTGCAGGGTGCATTAACCTCAGTCCTCCCCTCCGTCCCCTCCCAGGGCTGATCGGGTTTCAGTCTGTTAATGGCAGTGAGTCATTTGGTCTGATCTGAGGTCCCTGGGGACAGCGCAGTGCCCCAGGGTGGGGAGAGACGTGGGCAAGCAGGTGGCCCGAGGCCTTCTCCACCTTCCTTCTCGCTCCTCCACCAGGGGGATGGACGGTCCCTGGCCGAGGCTAGGGCAGACCCTGCAATCTGGACAAGGCCTCCAGAAGGGGGTCTCCCCGGGAGGGGTCACCTCCGGCTTCAGGAGACTCAACTCAGAGGTCTGAAAGACGCGGGAACCGTGGGGTTAGGGACTGAGACTCATAGACGATCATGGCCGGTCCGTCCCGGCCAAGCACATCCCAAGGAGCCCGGGGACTCCTCCGAGGCCACCTGGCTTTTTAGCAGCAGTCCCAACATCTGACACCCACACAGGGCCATTCCTGCCCCATGGCACTGCAGGGCATCTTCTCTTGCTGCGTTCAAAACCCAAGGACAAGGCCGGGCGCGGTGGCTCATGCCTGTAATCCTAGCTCTTGGGAGGCCGAGGCGGGCGGATTGCTCAAGGTCAGGAGTTCAAAACCCAAGGACATCCCCAGCCTTGGGGGCTGGGTGAGACTGGCCCTGTGAACTCTAGCCTGGAGGCGCCGGGAAGCCCTCCCTGCTGGGAGGGTCCTGGACCTTCGCCCAGGGCCGCAGGGAGCTGAGACTCTGAGGGGCCCCCGAAGCCCAGTGCGGAAGGAGCCATCCAGACTCAGCACCCACTTCTATAAATTCCTCCGGTAGGGAGCAGGGGATTTCCTGGAGAGAAGAGGGGAGGAGGCCGTGAACAAATGGGGGACAGCCAGGCCCGTGGCAGGCAGGGCGGGTGGGGCCTGTCCAGGATCCTTGGCTGCTCAGCTGTCCCTCCTCAGCCACCTGGAGCTGCCAAGCGTTCCTGGCCCCCCACAGCTGTCCCTAGAGCATTCCACACCCGAGGCTCCCAGAGCCAAGTGCCTGCTCAGCTAATCCTTGGAGACACAGTGTTCCTTCTCAGTGTCTCGTCCTCCTCTGCCCTGCGTGCCACCAACCAACTGCTGCCACCTGTTTGCTGCCGAGGAGTCTCAGTCCCCACCCCCGCACCCTCCCCAGGGGTGGGACGGCAGCCGCTGCAGCTTCCCTTGGAATGGCTATGGCTTCAGTGGTGGCACCCCATTCAGTGATGGCCAAAACGTGGCTCCCTAGCATAGCGGGGCTGAAACAGGACTCCAGGGAGGACTTCCTGCCTGTGAGAAGAACAGACTGCAGGTGGGGGTGACAGGGGAAGAAGGGGGTATACCTGCCCTGGCCTCATTTAGGAAGGAAAGGATCCTAATCTTCCCAACAGGGCCTCAAGACAGAGGAAGGGGCAGACGGGTTTCATAAGGGCATCTTTGAAAGACGGGGCTGGTGGAGGGTGGGGCGCTGCCTCCTTCCTAGAGTACAGTTGACAGGTCGACAGGTGCAGCACCTGCTCCCCGCCAGGGGGAGACAGAGAGTCAGCCGGCCCATCTGGTGCTCGGATGCCTGGGCTGCGGGCAAATCCCAGCCTGGCAGAGCGGAGGTGCCAAGGGAGTGCCTGGGATGCTTACCATTTCGCACCACGGGGCCCTGACCCCGGCGGCCTTAAGGGATTTGGGCTCCTAGACCTGGGGAGTGAGAGCTTCACCCTTCCCACATCCAGCAGCCCACGGCAGCCAGAGCACACCCGAGCCCTCCTGCCCGGCCTGCGGCCCTCACCAGCCGTCCCTACCCTGCCTCGGCAGCCCCAACCTGCTGCCCTGCTGGCACTAAGCCTAGACTCTTGCTTTGGCGCAGAGGCCCCCAAGATCCGTGTGCCCCGCCACCTTCGTCAGACCTACATCCGCCAGGTGGGAGAGGCGGTCAACCTGCAAATCCCCTTCCAGGTGGGTTCGCCTCCACTGAAGTAGGAGGCTGGGAGGAAACCAGACCCCCATCTGAGGTGTGTCAGGGCAGCTAGGAAATGTCAGGGTCCCCACGGGGGTCTGGCTGGGACCCCTTGAGACGGCCGCATCCTCCCCCGGTTGTGCACAGGATGGCTGTGAGTCCCCAGCTGCAGACAGGTGGGGCTCCAGTGCAGGCTGCACACCTGGGGGCGGGGCTCTGGGCAGCACCTGCAGCTCCAGCCCTGCGGTGCCCGCTGAGAAGGGCCAGCGGGGCGGGTGCAGGTGCCGGCAGCTCCCTGCACTCACCTGCGGGCTCCTCCCTGGCAGGGGAAGCCCAAGCCTCAGGCCTCATGGACCCACAACGGCCACGCCCTGGACAGCCAGCGGGTGAGCGTGCGCACGGGGGACCAGGACTCCATCCTCTTCATCCGCTCGGCCCAGCGCTCTGACTCGGGCCGCTACGAGCTCACGGTGCGGCTGGAAGGCCTGGAGGCCAAGGCAGCCATTGACATCCTGGTGATCGGTACGAGACCAGGGCCGACAGGGCTGCCTCCCCAGAGCCCCAGCTCCCACCCCAGAGGGGCCGGCTGCCGGGAGCAGGCCCAGGGAGGCTGCGGGGAGCAGGCCCAGGGAAGATGGCGGGAGCAGGCCCTGGGAGGGTGGCAGGAGCCAAACCCTGGGTGTGGGGACTGGGCGGCAGGCCTGGCCGCTCACACTCTGGTCCCGCAGAGAAGCCTGGAGCCCCCAGCAGCATCAGGCTCCTGGACGTGTGGGGCTGCAATGCCGCGCTGGAGTGGACGCCGCCCACGGACACGGGCAACACAGAGCTGCTGGGCTACACCGTGCAGAAGGCGGACAGGAAGACAGGGGTGAGGCCGGCGGGGCAGAGCGGGGCCGGGGTGGGAGGCGGCCGGGAAGGCCCATTCCACCGAGAGTCTGGGGACCGGGTTCTAGTCTGACTGCCACTGGCCTGACCCCCTCTGCCCCCCTCGACAAGACCCTTTCCCCCTCTGGACCTCAGTTTCCTCCTGGAGACTGCAGGGGGCGCTGGACGGGGCCTTCTGAGCACTTTCAAGCTCCGAACCGGTTGCCCAAATCTCAACGTGCATCACCTAAGGGCCTCTCTGAGCCCAGGTTCTGATTCAGTAGGTCCAGGTGGGGCCCGAGATCCCCATGTCTAAGAGGTTTCCAGGTGATGCTGAGGTTGCACACCTGCAGGCCACACTTTGAGTAAGAAGGTTCTAGATTTCTCTGAAGACCCCACAGAGGTCACCTGAGTGACCCAGGGGCCCCTTCTCCAGTTCAAATCCCTTGGATGCAAAGCTGGAGTGTTCGGCCCCCCGGGGTCAGGGACATGGAATGAGCCCCTCTAAGGAAGGGGCGACAGGGCAGGCAGGGAGGGCGAGGACAGGGGCAACAGGGGAGGGTGACAGGCCGGGCTCCCCACAGCAATGGTTCACGGTGCTGGAGCGCTTCCACTCGACCACCTGCACCATCTCCGACCTCATCGTCGGCAACTCCTACTCCTTCCGGGTCTTCTCGGAGAACCTGTGCGGACTCAGCGCCTCGGCCGCGGTCACCAAGGGGCTTGCCCACATCCAGAAGGCAGGTGGGTCCGGGCGGGGCCGGGAACCAAGCCAGGGCTGGCCGTGCTGACTCTCGCCCTGTCCTCGTCTCTGCGTCCCTCTGCCGGGTGGCTGAAGCAAGGCCCCAGGAACACGTGCCACCCCCTCTCCCCACAGCTAAGCCGCATGCACCCCCCCCCCGACACAGTGCGGCTGTAAAGCAGTGGACGTGGCCGATTGGTTTTAACAAACAGCTCAGGGCAGACCCCTGCAGACAGAAGGTGCCCGGGAGGCTGTGCACGTATTTGTTCTAAAGACGCGTGGGGCTCCCGACGTCACAGCAGTCACCGGGCTCAGGCACGGGCCCCAAGGGGACTGCCCTGCAGGGCGGCGTGTGCGCGGATGGCTGGTTTGTGTGTTTGCTGAAAGAGCGAGGCTCCCGCCCTGAGACACAGCCACGGTGGACAAGAGCCATGTGGGTGTTTGCCGTCTCCACCAGGCGCCCGTAGCTCCTGCGTCAATGTCAGACCCTGGGCCCTCGTCCCTGCCACCCTGAGTGCTCCTCCCTGACCCAGAGTCCGCGTGGGCTCCCCAAGGCACTCTCTCTTTCACACCCGCCTGAGCCGCACAGAATTAGGAAGACATTTTCGTTTAAAAAAGGAAAGCTGGTCAGGTCTCCAACGACAGACAGAGGAGATGCAGTGTCTCTGATTTGCGAGGCTCTGCCTTGTGCCAGGCCCGGCGCGTCCCTCTGGTTGTCCTGCCTCTGCTCACCGCCTGACCCCCGGCACTGCCTGGGCTCTCTCTGCTTTGCCACGTCCTGTCTCCGAGTTCCCACAAATAGGCCATGGCTTGCTCCCCACAAATCCCGGATTAGAGCAGTCCTAAGAGGTCTCCTGCACTCCTCAAGTTCACCCCGCTTTCTCCCCTGAGCCCAGACATTGCTGCCAAACCTAAAGGGTTCATGGAGCGAGACTTCTCAGAAGCCCCCTCGTTCACCCAGCCCCTGGCGGACCACAGCTCCACCCCCGGCTACAGCACGCAGCTGTTCTGCAGCGTCCGAGCGTCGCCCAAGGTGGGGGCCAGGCCCCGCTGTGCCTGGGCTGGCGGGGACCACTGGGGCTAGCAGGGTTGGGGGGTCCTCCAGGCATCGCCACCTGAGCCTGAGGGTGGCCTCAGCGACCCCAGCCCAGCTCTCCCCTGCCCATGCCTCCAGCCCAAGATCATCTGGATGAAGAACAACATGGAGATCCAGGGCGATCCCAGGTACCGCACCCTCTCTGACCAAGGCATCTGCACCCTGGAGATCCGGAAACCCAGCCCCTTTGACTCCGGCGTCTACACCTGCAAGGCCGTCAACGTGCTGGGGGAGGCATCTGTGGACTGCCGGCTGGAGGTCAAAGGTAAGGGCTCGAGGAGGGTCATTCCTCAGGGACCCGCCCGTGGATGGGCAAGCAGCAGAAGCCGCCCGGTTGGAGCGGGACTGGGGGGCTGACAAGGCAGGAGAGGCGGGGCAAAGCGGGAGGGTGGCCCAGTGTGGGGAGGGCATGTAATCGAGAGGCCCCGCACCCCTCACCTCCCCCACCCTAACCTGCGAGATCTCTTCCAGCCTCGGCCACTCACTGAACAGCTGAGCCGCGGGAGGAGGCTGGGATGAGGACCCAGGTAAACGGCAGACCTGTCCCTCTGCTTCCTCTGGGGGCGGCAGGGAAGCAAAGAGGAGGCTGGGAGCAGGGGTGGGGGAGAGGGGAGGGCGGCAGTGGGTTCTGGGTACTGGTCCGCAGCCGCAGGCAGGCAGCACGCACGCCCCGAGACATGCGGTGATGTTACGGGGCGATGCTGCTGGGGCCCGGAGGGGTGATTCAGTGCACGGTCACGGGGCAGAAGTCTGGTCCTGGCTCTGAGTGACCTCGGGCCAGGGCGTCCTCCTTAGACGGGTCTCCTCCTCAGGAAAGTGGGGACAGCAGCACCTGCCCTGCGGCCTCCCCTGCTGGTTCCGAGGCTCTGGCTGCCGTGGGCGGAGCTCGGACCGGGCGTGGGGCCTGAGGGAGGGGCCAGTAGGGGAAGGGCGCCCGGCCCCTGCCCCTCCGCACCCCCTGGCACCCCCGGCTCCGCCCCAGCCCAGACGCTCACGGAGCCTGTTCTCTGCCAGGCGCCCCAGGCCCAGAATCAAACGCCACCAGTGCCCAGGACTCCTGTTTCCATAGCAACAGCCGATGGAGCTGCGCCCGGTGCCTGCTGGCACCCACCCCCAGGGGCTGGAGTCCCGGCCTCAGGAGGGGGCCTGGCCGGCCCCAGCCGGGGGGCGCGGAGAGCGGAGCACCCAGAGAGTGTGTGCTGGGCGAGGGGCACGCGAATAAACAGGTGTGGTGTTACTGTGTGGGGTCTCTGTGGCAGCGAGCGTCACCACCTGGGGGGGCACCGTGTCACCAGGGGGGTCCCCAGATATGTCGCCATGAGGAGCATGGTGCCAGAAGGAGGGGGTCTCAAGATGTCGGGGTGGGTGGGTTCTGGACATGTGAATTGTCAAGACGCTGCTTCCTGACCCAGGGTTTGTGGCCCCAAGTGCGTAACTATAGAAACAGACACACCCTCTCTGGAACCCTCCTTGCTGGAAGGCCTCCCCTCCCCCGTTAGCGTCTCCCCCTCCCCCCTTAGCTTCTCCTCCCCTGAGGCTGTTCCCCCCACAGTGGGGGGCGGGTGGCCAGCACTGTGCTCTCCACAAGGGTTCACAGTCTTTTATTAGTCACATGGGCCTCCCTCGGGAGCCAGGGACCCCATCTCCAACAGTGGGGAGAGCCTGGAGTCCCTGTTCACACTCGGAACCGTCAACTTGACCACCACCTCCCCTCCCGCACCCCGCCCCTCTGCAAAGGGGCTCCCGGCTTGCAGGGGGTGGGTCGGTCCTTCCCCCACCCCTAAAGGCCTAGACCCCGTCCGTCCGCAACAGAGCTTCTGAAGCCCCGGGAAACAGATCTGAATGTCCTCTCGGGCCCGGCCCCTGTGCTCGCCCTCCCAGACAGGCAGAACTCCCCCGAGAGTTGGAGTGTCTGGGGTTCTCCTCTCCACGGGCCCGGAAGCAGCAGAGATTGTGTCACCTAGGAGAGTCCAGGCCTGTCACCAGGGCCGGTGGCCCAGATGACAGGTAATTACGCTCCAGGCTCCGCAGGAAGCTCAGGGCCAGAAGGAGGGCTCAGTGCTGCCGCCTGGTGGCTGTCTGAGGCCAGCACCTGCCGCACCACGCTCACTTCCCAAGGGGTCAGAGCCCCCCCACCCCCCGGGGGCCAAGGGCTGATGGGGAATAAAGCAAATGTCAGAAATGATTTCTGGACTCTCCCTTCCCACCTCTCCCAAATACGATCCCGGGCTGCCCAGGGCAGGGAGAGCAAGCACCCTGGCACCCAGCATGGCCTGGGGCACAGAGTCCTCAGCAGTGGGGACTGAGGTTCCCTGACTCCCGCCCCTTAGCTGCTTCTGGCCGTCTTCTCCTACAGAACGGGAGAGAAGGCAAGGCCAAGGCAGGCCCCGCTTCCCTCCTTGCCCCCATCTCGGAGGGCATCCCCTCCTCGCCCCCAGCTTGGTCCCCGGGCAGCACTGGCCACACCTAAGACAGGCAGGCTCCCCGCCCTGCGAGAGCCCGAGCACCTTCTCCCAGACTCCGCCTTCCCGGGACCTGCCCAGCCCGGACCTCTGGACTGGCCGTGGGACTCCCCGGGCAGGCGGGGGCTCTAGACACTTTCTCTCGCTGCAGGGCCACGCTGCCCACCTGTGCCCCTGCGGGACCCACAGGTGCAGGGGGCTCAGCTCCCTGTGCAGGGCCCTCGCCCCATGGGCGCCCGTCTCTCCAGAGCCTCCCTCGGCCCGCGGCCCAGCGGCCCAGCGGCCCAGCGGCGCAGCCTCAGGGGACACCAGCGGGACAGCAGGCAGGTGAGGCCCCGGCTAGAGCCCCTCGGGGGGCGGCCGGCAAGCGCACAGGGCAGAGTCTAGTCGTCCGGCCTCTCTTCCGCGAGGTCCCCGTCCCCTGGGGGTGCGGGCTGGCAGCGGAAGTGGTCGTTCCAAATCTTGAGGAAGGTGACCCGGAACTTCTGGATGCGGAAGGCGTAGACGATGGGGTTCATGGCGGAGTTGCCATGCGTGAGGAAGATGGCGATGTAGATGAGGATGCTGGGCTTGTGGCAGGAAGGGCAGAAGAGGGTGATGCAGTTCAGGATGTGCAGGGGCAGCCAGCTGAGGGCGAAGAGGAAGAGGATGAGGGCCAGCGACTTGGCGATCTTCAGCTCCTTCCCGTAGTACTTCTGCGGGTCGCCGGAGGAGGCCGACACCTTCTTGTTGAGCTGCTTGCGGATCAGGTAGAAGACTTCCAGGTAGATGAGGACCATGAGCAGCAGCGGGGGCAGCACCCAGACGAAGAAGTTGAAGTAGACCATGTACTCCATGCTGATGACCTTCTCGAACTCGCACTTGATCTCGGGCTCGCCCACGCTGCCGTTGGCCGCCCAGGCCCGCTCCACCTCGCTCAGGTTGTTCCAGCCGAACATGGGCGTGAGGCCCACCACGAACGACAGGATCCAGCAGCCCGCGATGGCCACCGCCGCCCTCCGCGGGGTCACCACCGTCTTGTACCTGAGGGAGAGGAGGGCAGGGTGTGAGGAGCTGCCCCTCCGAGGCCCACCCGGCCCCTGGGGGTCTCCACGAGGAGGCACCCCCACCCACCCAGGGCCCAGGGAGCAGAGAGGTGCGTGTGTCTTTTACTCAGGGGCCGAGTCTTCATGATCTAAGATTTAGGGCAGAGCTTGCAATGCGCTGGCTCATTCTCCTGCAGAGGAAGGAAGCCCTGATTAATGATAAAAAATAACAACAGAAAATAGCAAAGGACTTCCTTTAGGTGTTCCGAGAAGATAACCAAAGTAAAAATTGCTTACAAGTGCTCAGCACACCCCCACCCGGGGTTATCTCCTCATTACTTCTAAGGACTGCCCCCCTTTTTTTTCTTTTTTCTTTTTTTTTTTTTTTTTTTTTTTTTTTTTTTTGGTGAGACAGAGTCTCACTCTGTTGCCCTGGCTAGAGTGCCCTGGCGTCAGCCTAGCTCACAGCAACCTCAGACTCCTGGGCTCAGGCGATCCTCCTGCCTCAGCCTCCCGAGTAGCTGGGACTACAGGCATGCGCCACCATGCCCGGCTAATTTTTTCTATTTTTAGTTGTTTGGCTAATTTCTTTCTATTTATAGTAGAGACAGGGTCTCGCTCTTGCTCAGGCTGGTTTCAAATGCCTGTGCTCAAGCGATCCTCCCGCCTCGGCCTCCCAGACTACCAGGATTACAGGCGTGAGCCACCGTGCCCGGCCAGGACTGCCCCTTTGACAGATGAGGAAACTGAGGTTCAGAGTGGTCTCGTGGTCTGCCCGAGGCCACACAGAAGGCGAGAGTGCTGTCCGTGCTTCCTAACACACATCCACACTGACCAACACAGCCAGGTGATTAACAAAGCACCTCTTCCCTGGGGCGGGCCGCCGACACACTGTCATTAAAAAAACCCTTCACCCAACCCTCGTCCCACCCTCCCCTGCCAGGCCTGTCTCCCACCTCCATCTCCACCTCCCATTCCCCTCCCGGCTGCTGCGCAGTGCTCACCTCCCAAGCCGTGGGGCTCAGGAACCAGCTCTGCACCCCTCGCTAAGAGCGAGGCTCTCAGGAAAGCAGGCTAATGCTCACCCAGCGCCTAATGCGGCTGCCCCCCGCCCGCCCACTGTGCACGCCAGCACGCCTGGACGCGTGCATTCAGCCCGCTCACTGTGCACGCCAGCACGCCTGGGCGCGTGCATTCAGCCTGCTCACTGTGCACGCCAGCACGCCTGGGCGCGTGCATTCAGCCCGCTCACTGTGCACGCCAGCACGCCTGGGCGCGTGCATTCAGCAAGCGCTTATCAAGCGCCTGCTGTGCCAGGCACGGCTCTCTGTGCTGAGGACAAGATAAAAGGTCCCTGCCTCTGTGTGTCTCACGTTTTGGATGAACAGACATAACACAGATCACGATATGTCCCTCAAAGGAAATAAATAGGATGATGTCAAGGGACAGAGCTTTCCACCCCTTTTCACACCGTGACACACAAAGACGAGGAAAACATCTGGGCCTCAAGTGACGGCCCCTCCCCGTCGCTGGGGGCGGGGGGGGGGCAGGTTTTAACCTCTCCGGACGTCGTCCCACCTCCCTTTGCGCCAATCTCGCCGGCAGCCACCGTGTCTGCTGCCCACACGCTGGCCTTGGCTCGAGTGTCAAGGGCTGGGTCCCTCCTAGCTCTGGCCAGTCGGCAGCGGCTGGCCCAGTTGTTATTCTGAGATGGATGGAGCGCCCTGCTGAGCACGTGACAGCGCCCGCCGGGACCCAGCGGGGCAAAGGGGCGGCTGCTGACTGTCTTCTCCTGTCCCGGGCCTGCAGAATCTGCAGCGCTCCCTGCTTGGCGACCCTGCAGGTCTCGCCCTGGACAACACCTCTCCCAGCCCCCCTGCCATCATCGAGGCCACCTGCTCTGTGGAGGCTATGAGGGCGGGAAGGGGGACGGCTGGGAGGGTGGGAGACACCAGGTGCCCCCCACCCCGCCCCATCTAGACGGCAAGCACTAGAAGGGAACTGGGGAACCTCATTCCCGTCTCCTCACCGTTGTTCCACTGAACACCCCAGGACCCAACCCCTTCGAGCAGCACCCCAGCGTCCCTGCCCTGGGGCCGTGGTGCCCCAAGCCACCAGGCGCTTTGAGAGCTGCCCAGCTCACTCCTGCCTCACTGGGGTTTTCTTAGACACAATCCTCGCGCTCTTGCTGTGTACGAAGGCCATTCCCTCCTCCATGTCCTCAGCAGAACAGCCAGGCCTGCGGCAGCCACCGGAAGTCTGTGACTTGCTAATTAATTCCTCCTCTGTGGACTGAGACCTACCCCAGAGGGCGAGGATGAAATAAGATGGTACACGGTGCAATGCTCTGTGAACTCCCTACCGACAGCCCTTTGCCCACGCTCTCGTCCCTCCGGTCCCCTGGACAGACGCACACCTGGGGAGAGGCCAGCAGGTCCGGAAGCTGGGCAAGCACAGCCTAAGCACCCACAGAGCATCTGGCTCAGGGCTCGCTCCTGAGGATCTCAAAGTGTCCCCGCATTCGGTGGAAGAAGTTCTGGGCATGAGACTGTGGGGAAAGACCGAAGGGACGTAGGTCATTCTTTCCAGAAAGAAGGTGGGGAGAGACGCTGTCTGGGCGGAAGGTGGAAGATGGGGCCAGGCCGCAAAGGCTGCAGTGGCAGAAGGGAGGGCTGGCCGGCGTCCTGCCCCCACTGCCCGTCACGTATGCCATTTACAGAGCCCTTTCTCAGTCCCGTCTCAGGCAATCCCTGCCACCACCTGTGCGGTGAGCGCAGCAGGTAACCGGACCCCCCATTTCACAGATTAGGAACGTCCCTTGCCCGGGTCACCTGACTCCAAGCCCAGCTCCCTGCAGGGCACCAGGCTGGCGGTGGGTCATTTAGGCGGGGATGATTGGCAGATTGAGGACATCCCTTGTCTCAGAGCCTTAAAATAGGAACATGCAGGTGCCGTTCAGGAGGGTATCACCTGGAGTGAGCGGGTGACCTCTGGGGCCGCCATCCAGCCTGAGGATTCGGGGGCCTAGCCCCGGACCCAGGTCTGGCCAATGACGGCCTACCGAGGGCCCCAGGTGGGAGAGAGAGAGGAGACAGCTTCTAGCTGGAGAGGTGCCTGCCTGCCCCTCCTCCCTCGCCCTTCCCGACTGCCTGGAGCCCAGGGTTAAACCTTTCCTGGGGCTCCTCCAGCACCCGGTCCCAGCAGACCCTGCAGCTTAGGGTATCGGTTCCCATCTGTTTTTCTTGCTATTTTCTCCTTGGTGGGAAAGGCTAGACCAGGACCTCGGCCGAGGTGGGGCAGGCTCTCACAGGAAGGGCTGCCTCCCGGGCCAGGGGAGAAGCTCACCTCTCCTTGCACGTGGGAAAGGGATTCAGAGGCTGCAAGTCCTGGGGTGCACATGGGTGGGGGCGTGCGGAATGTCCCTCCCAAGGCAAGGCCTCCCGTCCCCAGGGGCTGTGCCGGGAACTGGCCAGAGATGGCCACTCCCAGGACTGTGCGGTCTCGGACAGACATGGAGAGGAGCAACCGAATGGGGACACTAAAACACCAAGTGGGGTCCTGTCCACAGGCAGGCAGGGCTGACAGCCCCTTAAAGACATAATTAATGGAGCCACGGGGAGCCCCACCACCCCCGGTACCTCCCCACGGGGCACAAAACCCACCACCAGGGAGACGTGCCTTTGGGTGAAGAGTCGCCCTCCCTGTGCGCTGTTTTGAAAAGCCAAGATAGGGCAGACTCCGCAGTGTGAGCTAGTTTATTGGTCAGCACCATCTTGTTGACGAGGACAACACGGAAAGGCTGGGAACCTGGAGCAACGGGCAGCAGAGAGCCCGGGAGGGGAAGGGGTGTTAGCCGAGCCTCTCCGCCCTGCCGAGAGCCGGCCTGGCCGCGCAGAAAGGGTCCCAGGCCATGGCCGCTGCGGAGCACGGCGGTGTGGTTCAGGCATGGAAATGAGGGAAGAAGGTCTGCAAATCCCACATCCAAGTGGGGCAGGGCAGAGGAAGCCACTGCTTCCTCCCAGGACACCCTGGCAGGGCTGCCGCACGAAGGGAGGGAGATTCTGGGAGCTGAGTGAGGCGGGAGCTCAAAAATAATGGTTAACAGGCCGGGCGAGGTGGCTCACGCCTGTAATCCTAGCACTCTGGGAGGCCGAGGCGGGAGGATTGCTCGAGGTCAGGAGTTCAAAACCAGCCTGAGCAAGAGCAAGACCTCTATCTCTACTAAAAATAGAAAGAAATTAATTGGCCAACTAATACATATAGAAAAAATTAGCCGGGCATGGTGGTGCATGCCTATAGTCCCAGCTACTCGGGAGGCTGAGGCAGGAGGATCGCTTGAGCCCAGGAGTTTGAGGTTGCTGTGAGCTAGGCTGACGCCAAGGCACTCACTCTAGCTGGGCAACAAAGCGAGACTCTGTCTAAAAAGAAATAAAAAAATAAAGGTTAACTGATGGATGATAATAACACCAGCGATGCAGACAGGAGCTAACCTTGACTTCTGTGTGCAGGGCCCTGACCTTGCAGACACGATTCCACTCCCGCCTTAGCACAACCCGCGAGCTCAGTACCCCAGGCTGAGCATCCCTAATCCAAACATCCAAAACTCGAAATGCTCCAAAACCTGAAACTTTTTGAGCACCGACACGATGCTCAAAGCAAACGCTCGCTGGAGCATTCCAGATTCCAGGCTTTTTGGATTAGGAATGCCTGACTGTCGAGGATAATGCAAATATTCCAAAATGTAAAAAAAATCCAAAATCTGAAACACTTCTGGTCCCAAGCAGAATTTTGCATAAGGGAATCTCACCCCTTATTGTTGTTCCCGCCCCCTGTTCGCAGTACCTGACACTCAGAGAAATTAACACACATAGGCAAGGCCACGCAGCCAGGAAAAAGCAGCTACAGAATTCCTAAGACTGAAATAGGTCCAAGTCCAAAGCCCGTACCGGTCTCAGCTCTGCCACTCCGGGAGATGGAGGACGACGGAGGTCGGGAGGGGTGAAGCCTGGAGGGGTGAAGCCTGGAGGGGAGGAAGGGAGCTATGGCCTGGCCCCAGGTCGCCTGCTCTGGGAGATCTCCCCGGACCCTGGAGCACTGAGGATGCCGTCAGGCCTTGCCTGGGAGCCTCACTCCTCCCTGGAAGCCTGGCCGAGATCTCCGTGAGCCCCCAGAATGACCTGTCCCTGTGATGTGTCACCTAGAATGTAGGCGGCTGTCCTGTTCCTGCTGGGGCAACCAGGCAGTGAGACCCTCCCTGTCGTTTATTAGACATATTCACTGAGCACATTTCTGGTGCCAGGTTCGGGAACGTAGAAGAGAACAGGCTGCCGTGAAAGCGCATTCTATAGGCAGAGAGGCGGGGCAAGAGATACGCAAACAGATAAACCTGGTCGCTTTGGAGAATGAAAGGACCGATCAAGTGAACTCGGCAGGACACCCTGAGAGCGAGTGACTGGGCAGGGTGGCCTGTCTGAGGACGAGATGATGGGCTGAGAGCCAAATGACCACCAGAGAGCCAGAGAGGCGAGGATCTGGGGCACAGCCTTGCAGGCGGAAGGTGCCACCAGGGAACGGGGCTGAGGCCGGAGTGGGTCTAGGGGGCAGAGAGAGGGCGGGTGCGGAGGAGCCTCAGGATGGGGGCAAGAGAGAGGCCAGCTCAGTGTGCGACCTGGCCGGGGACGCTCCCCTGGGGCTGAGAGGGCCACTGCAAACCCTCTGGGCTTTGTTCTCAGTGCAGGGTGAAGCCATTTTAAGCAAAGGAAAAACATCATCCAATGTCTGTTTTTAAAAAGATAGCTCCGGCTGCTGCGCAGAGAAGGTGCTGCTGCAGGGGACGGGGGTGAGCTCGAACAGCAGCCGGAGGCTGTTTCACCATCCAGGCGGGCGAGATGGGGGGACGGGG